AGACTTGCTTCGTAGAAGATTCTGCACATATCTGAGGGAGCAGAGACCTTACCGCAAGATCGCTGAGAAAATAGATGGGTGATTTAGTTGTGTGGAAGATGTGTATGGTCAGCAAAGGCATGTTTGCTCTCATGACCTGCACCGGGGGCAAATTCCTGGCCCTGCTGAAGCCCAGGGGATGCTTGATGGGACTCACCCCAAACGTTACTGGCATTGCTCTGGCAAGGTCAGGGGGCAGAGGCGTTAGTGGGGTCTGCCTGATGCGCCCCTCAGACACTTGTTGGTGAATCGGTGGTTGGGAAAATCCCTGTGGGTGGGGATGAGGTGCTGTGCAGGGTGATGGTTAACGCCACGCTGCCTCCACCGGTGGGGAAAGGTGGGCTGTTCGCAAGGGCCGTTCAGAGCAGGAGCAAAATGTGGGTGCTCTGATTTGCCCTACAGGGGAGGTTACCAGGCCCGGAGGTGGTCACTGCCCTTTTACGTTCCAGAAATTGGATACTTGATGTGAGGGATAGGAAGATGCTTGTCTGGGCAGGGAGAAAGGCACAGCCAGCCTCCCAGTTGTCTTGGGGTTGAATGAAAGTGGGATATGGGCAATTTTAAGCCTGGGAGTTATGAAAAAAAAGCTATTACAGGACTTCACGATGTTAATGTCCTTTTTCTGACCAGTTCCACTCTATAACCCTGGCAAATCCCGGTGATGAGTCAATTTGCTGTTGGCAGTGCCAGCACAGAGCGACACTTAGAAACCAGAAGGCAGAGAGAGAAAAGCTGAGATGGGCTAGTGGTGTGTACCGCTGAGCCTAAACTACTTGCGTGTTTTGTTTTGTTCCTTCAGTCCTTGAAAAGAATTAGAAAAGGATGTCAGATTTCACCAGAAGGGTAACAAAACCACAGGAGTCTGTCTGTGGATTAAGAGTTTTCAAGAACTAGCAAGAATAAACTTTTTCCTGTTTTCACTCTGTTTTCTGTACCTTAAGCCACATAGGATATTTGCAGAGACCCCCAAGTTTTCTTATTTGGACTCGGTTATTTTAGAGAACTTGTTTTGCAGAACTGTGCATCCCATCCCAGGGAAGGAAATCAAGGTCAGAGATGAGGAAAAACCCACCTAAGGGCCTGAAATATTTTTAGTTTCTCAAAGACCACCCGGTGTGGGAATGATAGATTTAAAAATGGGTGGAACCTCTAAGCCTGGAGTTGTGTCAAGTTATTTATGAAAAATCTCCGAGATCTTTGTGTGGACCAAGATATTTGGGTGGTACTTTCTCACTCTTTCTTCAGAAAAGGCACGGTGGCCTCACAAACTGAAAACTAGCCCTGCTTTTTCTCTGGCTTTAAAAATAGCTATGTATCTTGAAAAGCTGTCTCAGCAGTAGTGAAGGAGTGGAAAAAAACGTGTATTATATCCCCATGGTTTCACACAGTGCAGCTGTGCTAACAGAGTGCATTGAGAGCGAGACGAAAGGAAAGGCATGAAATAGTCCATGAAATGATCAGTTGAATCTAACACTAAAGCTTCGCACAACAGGGATATCTATTGTCCAGGTATCCTATTGCAGATGGCAGGGGTTTGTCTTTTTTTTTTTAGGAGGAAAACAATCCAGGATATTAATAATTTCAGGACTTTAATATTAATAAAATTTTAACTGAAATCTGTGTGAAAGTTATCTTCTGATAGAAAGTCTACCTTACTTTGAATTGAAATCTTTAAATATTCTTACAATATGTTTGGATTAATTAGCTGTATTCTGTGGGATTTAAAGTTTTGATTTTACTTCTGGATGTGGGATGATGATCAGGTTTCATCTGATCCAGGTCACTAGATTTATTAAATCAGTTCTTAAAATATTTCAGTTTCTTGAAAGAAGCAAGCTTGCATCAACATACAGCCTTCAACAGCCCCTCCTAGGTCTTGGGGTAATCAGTAGTACAGGAATAACGGAACGAGTATTGACCAAACGTAATGTGCAGTTTGCCACGGTGCAGCTATTCCCCGTGCGCCAACTCTAAAGTACAAGTCGTTAGTTTATAACCCACTTTAGGTTACAACATTTTAACGTTTCTTCAGTGTTTATTTATTCTCTTCCTAAAGAATGTTCTGAAATATCGAGTTTACAACCTGTGGCTCATGTGATGGTAGTGGAAACGATTAAGCTAGAAGCTTTCAAAGCCACCACTGGGATTTTGATGCCCAAACTCATTAATTTTAATAAGAAGTGAGCTGCCAGTCGTCTTAAGTGGTTTCTAAAATCTCAACCCATAAAAACACCTCTCTACTGGTTCCAGTTTACTAGGAGCTCAGAGCAAGGTAAACGTGTAACAAAATAGGAGGTGTTAAAAGGTGGAAAGTATGTGTTCAGGTGTCTCCCAGCCCATTCCAGGAACCAAATGGCAGCCCTGGCCTTGAGCTGGCAGATGGGGGCTGACATGGAGGCTGCTCCTGCCTTCAGCATCTCATGGATTTACTGACTAATCCAAACGTGAGGCACAGTTTCGGTGGCAAGAAGAAAGTCAATCATAGAATCACAGAATGGTTTGGGTTGGAAGGGACCTTGAAGACCATCCAGTTCCAACCCCCCTGCCATGGGCAGGGACACCTTCCACTAGACCAGGTTGCTCAAAGCCTCATCCAGCCTGGCCTTGAACACTTCCAGAGGTGGGGCATCCACAACAATGGCAACAGAAATCTTGGAACGGCTCAGTTCCAGCTGTGATGGTCAGATTGCCTGTTGACTCTGGTCTCTTGCATCTGCCCTGTGCTCTTGGCTTTGTAACTACATCGGTTTCTGTGACCGACGTAGCACTCTTCTCCCTGGTGTGAGGATGGATGGCTTGGTGGCAGGAAGACTCACGCCCCTCAGTGCAGAGCCGAGGCATCTAGAGCAGTACCGGCATGAATTGTCTTTAGGCAGTATCACCAGCTTGTATTCCCATTGCTTTGGCGTAAGGGCAGATGAAGAGGCCAGGGCTCTCTTGTCACCCGTTGCTGTCACTGCAGTCACCAATGTGGTGTTTATAGATGCTTAGCCCAGGTCCTTCCTACCTGCCTAACCACTCCTCTCCAAGTTCAGGCCGCGTCACCTTCCGAGCTGCTAAATTATGCATGTGCTTGTTGATACTTTGCTGATGCACCATCATGGTTGGATAAAAATTAGGAGCTGTCTGCTTGGGCCTGAGGGAACCAGCCAGTGCAAACCTATGAGAGCCTTTCCTTTTACATGAGTCTGGAGATGGGTTTGCTTCAGCCATGAGCCTCTGTCACAGCCTAAGAAGTCTTGAAGTCTTTGTAGAGTTCCAAGATCTCCCAAAGAAAGTTGCTGCACTGATGAAAACTCATCCTCAACCTGAATCATGGAAGAAAGTCTTAATGGGGGAAAAAAAATCCAGAACCAGCATATCTCTCTGTAATGCGAAACAGAGCGTGGAGTGAGTATGAATGAGTGTGAAAAGGACTGATTGAGAGTCTGAATGCTTGGGAAAAGAGGAAAAATACGTTATTTTCTTGTGTCCTCTACTAATGAAAGCAACCTTGGAGAATTTTAGAATTACTTTAAGCAAGTGTCCCTCTTTTCTGTCTCTGTCATATCATCTCTGAAGAACATTGGCTACTAGTGACAAAGTTACTGTAGTTTTTGCCAGTGAGCCTCATAGTAGCAACAATTAATTCTCAGTAGCTATTGGAAGGACCTTTGGGAGAAACGTGATGCAGTGGAAATAGAGTTGACCATCTTGACTGCTATTGTAATGTACCTCAAAAATAAAAAAAAAAAAAAGCTGCTATTAGTAGTAGATGTGACTTTTTTTTTGGAAGAGAAGAAAATGTTCCATAAATGAAACATGTGTTTTCACTTGCAGCACATTTTGTACATTGTCACCAATGAAGTTTAGGATTTTTTATTACTTTTTCATTAAAATGTCTTACTGGTTTCACTCAGGAGGCAAAACTTTTCACGTGGCTTTAATTGTTTCTGTCATAAAAGTCATAGCATCCATGTAATAGAAATAGTTTCCCAGACCACAGCTTCATATTGCCTATTAATTCTCTTCCATTTTCTGTACCTACAACTCATTGGGCCATCCCGGAGACAGAAGAAGGTCCTCTCTTGCAATTAAGACCAAACAGGAATTTCTATTGAAGTTAGGGAAAAAAAATCACTTTGTGTCAGTACTCATTTATTAGATTTTTGGTTTAGATATCTTAGCTCACAATGTAAGTTGACATGGCCACATATCAAAGGAGAGAGTTTGTACTGACTTTTTTCTAAAATTAGTGAAATTCTACAAGATGAAAACAATAAAAGATCCTTTTCTGCAGAGTTCCAGAGGTGTTAGTATTTCAAACCAGAATGAAGAGCTCTGGCAGAATTGTTTCAAGGTGGCTTTGGACAGGTCATTTACCCCCTTTCTTGCTTCATCTCTCCATTACACAAAAACTGCTGGAGTTCCAGTCTCTCATCCCATTCCAGGAGCCTGGCTATTATACCATGCTTCTGTCATCAGCTGGAGCTTCCCTGTCACCACTCCTAACTCGGGTGAACAAGCATAATTATTATTGCAGTCAAAACAAGGACTTGTTTTCCACAGATGATATCCAAAGTTGGAAAAAAAAAAAGGGAACTAGTGTTATCTCATTAATTTAAGATCAGCTTCTGTTAAGGTATCTGTTTCAGAGCGAATCAGTCTTGCCATTTAACCTTCAGCCCAGCGGGGGAGGCGATGTTGACCCCTACCACAGGCTTGAAAGCCTGTAAGAAGTAATTAAAATGCCAGAAAGCAGCAATAGCATAGCAACTGCCTTTTCACCCTTTTGCAGTTTAGTGTTTATTTGGTAGTTTGCTAGGAAATGCCACTGCTGTCCTTACTTGCTGCCCCAGAGCAAAAGCCCTGTATGCCTTAGCAGCTAGGAGCACCCACCAAGTAGTGTAGTCCTCTGCTTTGACATTTCTTGGCATAATCCTTCACTTACTCATCCAATGTTTAAATGTTGTGTTTTGCAGTTCAAGGACAACAAAGACTAGCCCAACCTTAGAACGGTCCTCAGCAACAGCCCTGCCTGCTGTCCCGCTTTCCGAGCAGGTCCCACTGACATCTCCTTCCCTGAAGCCTCTGCAGATGGACGAAGAAGACAGCCTGTCTCCTCACCTCCTGTTGCCAGACAGCATCAGCCAGTTGGAAGAGTTTGGCAGGCAGAAGAAATGGCACAAGAAGCAGCACAAACACCATCGCCAGAGGCAGTTCAATGACCTCTGGGTTCGGATAGAAGACAGGTGAGTCATAATTTTATGGTCCCTTCCTGCTGTCTCCAAACTAGCTGCTTTTCCAATCCCAACTCATGTTGATTAGATCGTAAGGAGGGTTGGAGGAAAGCTAAATGGCAGACAGGGAGTGAGGTGATGGTTTTAAGAACTAGGAGGAAGGCTCATAGTCACATTTGATCTAAAAGTAAAGAGAAATAAAGTTAATGCTTAGAATATTTAAAATATACAGAAACAAAGACTTGTCAGAGTAAAAACAGGAAAAAAATGATGATGGAAAATATTCTGGGTTTGCTCTCTTTCTTCCAACAATTATTTTCCAATCTTTACTGTCAGCTTTCAGACCAAAGACTCACCCATTTTCCAACAATTCAGAATATTCGTGGGAGTTTTTAAGATTCTGACATATCTGACTTTCAATCTTCTTAACTGTGTTCTGGGGTTGAAATGTTTTAACATTCAGACTGCCTTAAAAAACAGCAAACTGAGGCAAAATGAAGTACTTAACTGAGACCTCTAGGTGAAGATAATGGAGGTAGGCATATCTCCATGGTATTTAACATTAAAAACTCCCATTTGGTGTTTGAATAAGAGGTTGAATCTGGGCCTTCGTGTTTGACCAGAGCTGATCAGTGTGTGTGCTTAGGATTCCTGGGCAATCTATTCTCCCACCTCTAAAACTGGGCAAGTTCTTTAGTGCCTTTATCCAAGCCAAGTCATGGGCAGATAAAGAGCCACAGTGTTTATAGATTTGCTAACAAGTAAAAGGAATGAAATAATCTGTTGGGAACTGGCTGCTTGCCTATATGTGTAATGATTGTCTGTCTCTGAGCATTGCTCTTATTCCCATTTTCATAGCACCTAAATGCCTTGCAAGTAAAATGAGTCAGTATCTCAGAGGCTTCTCCCTTTGCTAAGGAAAAAAACTCTATGTCATTGTGTTCTGGGATTTCTTTTTCTTTCTTACTCATTCTTTTTAATGGAGCAGTCACCTCATTTTTGTTGTAGGTGTATTATTGGGGTGAGTGATGTAAGGGTTGTTATTAAGGTGGTGCATATTAATCGTAACATAGTAAGGCTATTTCTGAGGTTAATGCCAGCCTTGGTAAGAGGGTTCAGATCTGGATTCATTTGTTTTGTTCTCAAAATGTGTTCAGTGGTTGGATCCTCTCCACAGAGGATGCTGAACCATGAGTTAAAAGGCATTTGTCCTACATAATTGGTTGCCCTGAGGACAAGGGACTTTTCTGTCTTTCTTCTGCATGGGGAACCATAGAATGATTTGGGTTGGAAGGGACCTTAAAGACCATCCAGTTCCAACCCCCCTGCCATGGGCAGGGACACCTTCCACTAGACCAGGTTGCTCCAAGCCTCATCCAACCTGGCCTTGAAGACATCCAGGGATGCCGAGTCATGGTGTCCAATGATGTCCCAGCATTTTACAAGTGTGTCTGGCCCAGCTCACCATACATGTCATACAGGTGAGGTGCTTAAATGGTCAGATCTGGTGGGATCCTAGCAGTTAGGCACAGTCTCCTGTCCTGTCTATCCAGAAGGAATGTTGGATATTGGGCCTGAAATGGCGATGGAAATTCTGCAGCGGGGAGCTTAAAGCAGTGGTGCTTGCACAGGTTTGGTGGACTTCTGTGTCTTTTGCTATTTTTATTTCAGTAAGAAGTGTTCGTAGG